CAGTCTGCATTCAGACTCCATCAGTTCTGTCTCTGGAGGTGGATAGCATTTTTCATCATAAGCTTTTGGAAGTGGCTCAATATCTCTCCAGGAAATACTCCTACCACATAGAGCATTGGAAGTGTCCACCTGCAGGCTGATAAAATAAAAAGGACAAGTAAAGTACTTTCTCGCCTCAGGGCATTGAGCCCTGTGCCTGGTAGGAGAGAGGGCATGATAGTGCTTCCTTCAGTCTTCTGTTCTATTCTTCCCATTGCCTTCTTCACCCTTATACAATCAACTTTCCATTTACAGGGTGTCCCAAAAGTCTTAGTGCACTTTAAAGCTATTGTGCTGGTGATTTGGGGGTATTTTTGTTGTTTTGCACACTCTGAATGAGTGTGCTTACATATGACTACACATCTATATCTCTAGGTCTCCAAGAACTGAAAGTATGTCTGAGGGCTTACCTATCTGTGTACCCCCAAGCAGGCTTGTGTCAGAAACTTCACACTGAGGCAAGCACTCAGAGCTGAATTCCAGCTCTTAACATTTAACCCAGAGCCTGACACATAGTAAGCACTTAATAAATGCTTGTTGACAGATTGACTAACTGACCGACACTTGGGCAATCCTTAACCTCTCTCTAAGCTTCAGCATGATCCTCTGTCCTCTTTTCTTTCCACTGCTACATTTTATTAACCTTAGAGTGTTCTAGAAATGTAAGTGATTCCTCTGGACCTCTTTTTGCTTGTTATCCAAGTGACCATGATTGAGTATGACTGAGCACCGATATATAGAGTCCAGTGCCTTTTTGTATCCACAGCTGAGAAGGTTGCCCTTCTGCCCTACTCCCAAAGCTCAGACCTCATTCTCCTGCTCCTCTCAAGCAGTTAGGTGGCACAGTAGATAGAGTGCCAGGCATGAAGTCAGGAAGACTCATCTTTATGAGTTCAAATTTAGCCTTAGACACGTACTAGCTGTGTGACCCTGTGCAAGTCACTTAACCTTAGAATGATCCAGAGCAAGAAATGGCAAACCATTCCAGTATCTTTGACAAGAAAACCCCAAATAGAGTCGCAAAGACTCAGACATGACTGAAATGCCTGAATGACAACAACATTCCTTTTAGGCCTTAAAAGTTAAAGAGAAAATAGATTAATAATCCCATACTTCCTTCAATTAAACAAAGTCATAATCTCATACATCACATAAGGAAACAAATTTTATCAAACGAACTCTGTAGGTAAACTGAGTTGGCTTACAGATTAAACTACATTTAGAGGATTACAAACAGGCTGATTGAGAAGGAGGATTTACAAGGAGTTAGGGACAGTTGAGATTCTTCCTCTGGCTTCTTGCTCTTAAGTAAAATTTATATTCCATAAGACAGCTTTTGTTCAGGTGAGGTTAATGTTAAAACAGACTTTTAGTTAACCAAAAATTACAGGAGGAACGGCCAAATAATAAAATGAAATTAAAAATTCCCATAATAATAGTAAAAGGCAAAAAGAGATGATACTAAGCAACTGGGATGAAAGAGGGGAAGGGACCAAGAGAGGTCTCCTACAGGTGGTAGAACTTGAGATAAGTCTTAGAGGAGGACAGGGACAGTCAGTGAAAAAGCAAAGAGTTGGGCAATGGTGTGTCCCATGCTGCAAGTAGGCCAGTATGGATGACTTGTAGAGTATTTGAAGAAGAGTGTGCCGTAAGAAGACTAGGAAAATAGGAAAAGGCCAGGTAGTAAAAGACCTTAAATGTCAAACAAAAGGACATTAAATTTGATCCTGGAGTTGCCAGATTTTTGTTGGGTAGAGGTTGGGGTGGCACGGTCTCATAGACAGACCTAAGTTTTAGGAAAATAAGTTGGGCAGTTGAATGGAGAATGGACTGCAGAGACTTGTGCCATGGAGACCCATTAGAAGGTTATTAGTGTGGTCCAAGGGAGGGCGATGAGGGCCACAACTAAGGCTGTGGCTTTGTGAGTAGAACTAAGAGGAAGTGTGAGAAATATTGTAAAGAAAGATGTTCTGATTTTAGGCAGTGGATCAGATATGAAGAGCGAGTGAGAGACGAGTAGAGGGTGATACCAAATCAAGGTTATAAGCCTCTGTGACAGGGAGGTTGGTGGAGCCCTTAGAAGCAATAGGGAAGTTCATTTTACAGGTGACTGAACTGAAGCCTAAGAGGGGAAGTGATTTGCCCACAGTCAGCTAAATCAGTGGCATAAATAGAATAAGAAGCCAAGATTCCTGATTCCCTGACAAGCAGTCTTTTAGAAGGAATGTCAGAGGTCACAGGATCCTTGAACCACAGACAAGGTGCCAGAAGGGATCTTAGAGGTCATCTGCTCCAATCTCATTTCATAAATAAGGAAACTGAGCTTAAGTGACTTACTAAGCTTGGGTAGCAAATGCTGGAGCAAGAATTCAACCCAAGTCCTCTTGCTCCAAATACAAATCTCTTTCCACTACATCACAACCTCATTGAACATCTGAGGTTCCTTCCAATTATGAGCTTCTATAATTTTATAAATATTTGTGTATATACATATGCATGTATTTTATAATTACGTATTATGTTACATATTACAGTATTATCTAATATGGAGGCAGCTAGCTGGCTCAGTGGATAAAGGGCTGGGCCTGGAATCAAGAAGGCATGAGTTCAAATCCAGCCTCAGACATTTACTAGTGCATGACCCTAGGTAAGTCACTTAATTAGTTTGCCTTAATCCACTGGAGAAGTAAATGTCAAACCAACAGCTTTGGTGTCCATGGGTTCATGAAGAGTCCAACACAATGGAACAAAAACTTATATATTATAATTACATATGTTTTGTAATTGTACATATGTGGAATTTTATAACTGCATATATATGTAATTGTACAGACATACCTCATTTTATTACTCTTCCTTAATCGCACTTTGCAGATGCTGCATTTTTTGCAAATTGAAGGTTTGTGGCACTTCTGCATCGAGCAAGTCTCAATACCGGCGTGTGCTCGCGTGTCTCTGTGTTACATTTTGGTGACTCTTGCAATATCTCAAACTTTTTCATTATTATTCTATCTATTATGGTGACCTGTGATTTTTGACGTTACTGTAATTGTTTGGGGGCACCACAAATCAGGCCCAAGTAAAATGGCGAATTTAATTTATAATTGTTGTGTGTGTTCTGACTACTCATATGGCCAGCCTTTCCCCATCTCCTCTCCCTCTCCCTATTCCTTGAGATACAGCAATATTTAAATTAGGCCAATTTACAATCCTGCTAATGGCCTCTGAGTGTTCAAGTGAAAGGATCAATTTATGCAGCAAACTTCATTGTTGTCTTGTTTTAAGAAATTACCTAACCACTCCAACCTTCCACAAGCACCGCCCTGCTCAGTCAGCAGCTACCAACATTGAGGCAAGACCCTCAACCAGCGAAAAGATTGTGACTCACTGAAGGCTCAGATGATGGTTAGCATTTTTTAGCAATAAAGTATTTTTAATTAAGATATGTACATTTTTATATAATATTATTGCACACTTAATAGACTACAGTATAGTGTAAATATAACTTTTGTAGTTATATTCATGTGACTCATTTTATTGTGATATTCACCTTATTATAGTGGTCTGGAGTCAAATCTGCAATATCTCCAAAGTATACCTGTATATGTCCCCCAGTTTGCACCATATTAATGGATGTGTGTTTATGTCTGGAGGTACTCCTTCCTTCCGCTGTGATAGAGGAGCTCCCCAAAAGCAAAGACTTTATTTCTTCCTTCCTATGAAACCTCACCCCCATCTCTCACCTGTCTTGGTCCCCAGGACAAAACTATGTGCACATGAGTAGCCTTGATGCCAGCTCTAACATTCAGCTCTATGACTTTGGGGCAGATCACATAATTTCTCTTAATCTTGGTTTTCTTATCTGTCAGACTGAGATATGTCTCCACTCCCTGTCTTACAGGCTTGTGAGGAAAGAATCTAGGAAACTTCTAAGCCCTCTTAGGTGAGTTACTCGTGAAGTTTGCTGGAATGTTGGGCTGATTGAAAACAGAGAACCCCATTGAAGTTCCTCTAGTGCACTTTATTTGATATACAGCAGCTATAACTTAGAACCATAACAGTAAGCAAAGGATGACAACAAGCAAAGAGCATGCTGGTTATGTAAGGGCTATTTACACAAAGAGCTGAGGCTGCCCAGATCTGGGCATTACTGCCCAGGGGCCAAAGGAGAAAATTCTATTCACTAAATGCAGCTGATGGCATTCTCTGGAAGCAAAAAAGCATTGAGAGCTTAAGAACTATTGAGGGCAGGACCCCAGAGAGGAGATCAATGGGCAAAAAATCACAGACCGCAAGACCTTGAGATGACCTGACCTACTGAGTGTTGCCAAAGTGGCTGAGGCCAATGATCAGCCTTCTGTTCACTTGGTGTTAAGGGGAAAGGATAAATAAAAACAACTGAAAGTCCAAAGCTTTTTTGGACTGGGCTTTGTGACAGTGGCTATATTGGATGAGCTGAGAAATCGCAGCCCTTCGCAACTAATCACAAAATTAACCCTGTGAGGACTTGACCCATGAGGAGCCAGGAAGATGTCCAGCTTCCTTCACAGCCCCACTACTTCCTTCTTCATGCCAGGGAAAGGCAGCATCACCTCTCAAAAAGTGACTAAGCATCTGGCCAGGTACAGCTGTTCTTCCTCTCTCTTCCTAAGCTTGTATCTTCTTCAGATCTTCCTTAGGACAGAGAATGTAATTATAGGTTTTACTTTTAAAGGCTTACTTCGGGACTGAAGTCTTCAAAGGGGTAAAAAGCAAAAAGTCAAAGAGGAGATATTTGTATCAATAACAATTTGGAATCAGGATAGACCACAATGTGGAGGGACCAGAGTTAACTCTAAATACTCTGGAGACTTGAGAATTGTGAGTATTTTAGAGGGCGGCAATCAAGGTCGGTATCATCTATAGGCTGGGGGCAAAAATCGTCTTCTTCCACAGTGCCATGGTGAATGGGGCCAGAGAGATTATTGGGTAGTTTTCTTGGCTGGGGAGCTAGCTGAGGAGGTCTTGGTCAGGGATTTCTTGAGGTCACCCACTCCTTCCCCTGTGGTCTTGGTTTCAATGCTTCGGGCACTGCTAGAGGTGCTTGACCTAATGCCACTGCCATAGCTGGCACCAATTGAACTGGGTCTGTAGCCATAACCACTGCCGCTTCCGCTACTGATCACAGCTGTGGAGACAAAATAATAAATTAAAAAAAAAGGCCAGCGGTAGTGGGGGGACCTTATCCCAAACAGTAAAACCAAGAAGGGACACTGGGCAGGCAACACGAGGTGGGAAAAGAAGGCGTATTTGCTAGTTTTTATTCCCATAAGAGAATGAGTTTCCTTTGCAGCAGCCAAAGGGCTTTTGGCTAGAAGTGAAGCTGAACTTCCCAACCATAAAGAGCAGGAAATAATGGGAAGCTGTGGAGTTTCCTGCTCTGGACCTTTTTTTTAATCTTTCTTTTTTATTATTTTTAGGCAGTTGGGGTTAAGTGACTTGCCCAGGGTCACACAGCTAGTGTCAAGTGTTTGGTCTAAGGCCAGATTTGAACTCAGATCCTCCTGACTTCAGGGCCAGTGCTCTATCCACTGCACCACCTAGCTGCCCCACTGGACCCTGTTTTTGAAACAATCATCATGGAATAGGAGTGATAGCAGCCACACTGCAACAATAATGGAATTAATAGAGCACCAGCCCTGGAGCTGGGGGACCTGAGTTCAAATCCAGCCTCAGACACATGATACGCACTAAGCTGTATGACCCTGGGCAAGTCACTTCACCCTGATTGCCTCGCAAAATAAAATAAAATAAAAGGCCCTTCGTGGACAACATCCACGTGAGTTCATACAACAATATATTGACTTTTAAAATGTCAAACAAATAAGTGTCTGAGTTATATAGATTTATTTGTGGAAATGGAGGGCTTTATGAAGGCAGTTGAGGATCAGGTCACTGTCCCTAGAAATTACAAAACAGTTTATCCTTAAAGAGCCAAGACTTAGTGATCAATATCGATCATACAAGGCAAAACCATGAAACCCATTACTGCGAGCCATAAAAGATTCGCACCAATTTGATACCTAGCAAGATATGGCCTCCCTGCGCTTCATTGATTGACAGAACCCAAATCCCTATTCTACAGATATATACCTCAAAATAGCCTTGATAAATCAGCTAATAAACTTGTTGGCAGCAGACCCAGACCAAATCCTTGCTCTCGGTTGCCCAGATAAAAACTGAAGGGCAATGTTTTTAATAGTTGTTGCCACATTAAAGAATCAGTCCCAAACTACATGGAATGAATAAAAAGCTTCCAAAATATAAAGGCCTAACAGAGGAATTCAAAATCATATGGGAATAAGAATGTGTGTGTATATGTACATGTATGTGTATGAGTGCATGCATATATGTGTGAATATACATATATGTGTATATATCTATATATACACATACATATACGCACATATATATCTCCATCATCCAGTCTTCTTTCTTCATCACTTCACATCTGGACTACTGCAATAGCCTGCTGGTTAGGTCTGACTGCCTGCTGTCTCTTCGTACTCCAATCTATCCTCCATTCAGCCACTAAAGGAATTTTCCTAAAATGCAGGTCTGACCATGTCACTCCTCTCCTCAATAAACTCTAGTGGCTCCCTATTGCCATCAGGATCAAATGCAAGACGCTCTGTTTGATGTTCAAAATCTAGCCCCTTCCTATCTTTCCAGTCTTCTTATTACCTTACAACCCAGCATGTACTTTTTGATGCAGTAACACTGGCTTCCTTGCCATTCCACAAACAAGACCCCTTGTCTCTCAGCTCCTAGCATTTTCTGTCTGTTCTCCATGACTGAAACAGACTCCCTACTCTACTCCACCTATTGACTGCCCTAGTTTCTTTTAAGTCTCAACTAAAATCTTTTTTTTTTTTTACTGGAAGACTTCCCCAACCTTTCTTAATTCTAATGCTTTTCCTCTGTTAATTACTTCCTATTTATCCTGTATATAGCTTGCCTTGTATGTATTTGATTGCATGTTTTCTCCCCCTCTAGAGTATAAGCCTCTTGAGGGCAGAGACTGGCTTTTGCTTTCTTTCTGTATCCACAGTGCTTTGTAAAGTGCCTGGCACGTAGTAGGAGCTTAATAAATGTTTATTGATTGATTGATAGAATTGTGCCAGGGATGCTTTCAGTGAGTCCTATAGAGGATCAGCTTACATCCTAATATTTTTATGTAACTGCATAAAGCAGTTATTTAATCCATTCATTTAATAGTCTATAGAGCATGAAATATAAAATAAGAGTGGTAAACATTAAATATATTTATAAGCTATAAAAATATAAAATCATTATCCTAAGTATAGTGATTGACCCCTAGACCATTTCTATGTGAACTTCATCAAAAAGATGAGTAGAATTTTTGTATAATAGTAACTTACAGTTTACAGAAATTGAGGGCTTTGTGAGAATAATTTAGAATCAAGTGACTGTCATCAGAAATTACAGAAACATTATCTTAAAGTAGCCCAGATTCACTGATTGATAAGGATCATTCAGTGAAGTGATAGAAACTGCAAAAAAAAAAAAACCAAAACATTTAGTAACCACCATATGTCCAAAAGGACCCAGTCAGGTTACTGAAATTCTGTAGCAAATGTTCACTATTCTTTATATAATCACAGATGACAATCTCCATCCTACAGAGAGAAACTTTGAAATGCCCTTGAGAAATCAACAAATAAGCTGTATTGAAAATGGAACGTCATTACAAACAGAACTGATGCCCTCAACCTCCTGGCCATATTTGATCTATTAAAATTTAAAAATAAGGATTTTAATGGAGGTTGTCATACTGAAGACTCATAATCTCCAAATTACATGGGATAAAAGGCTTTCAAAACATAGAGACTCATGGGAAGAAATTAAAAACAGGTGGGGACAGGACAAGATGCATGTCATCCTTGTTCTTCCATCATTTACTGGAGCCATCCCAAAGGTACTTTCAGTGAGTCTGCAGAATGCAAGCCGACAACCCAATACTCTTATTCAACTACAACAAATAGTCATTTTACCCACTGCACAGTAGGGCTCAAAATGTTAAATATAAATGAATAACTACAAGATAACAACTTGTCCTGGGACTGTTTCTGTCCAAATCCCTTTAAATATATGTCAATAATGAGATAGTAGTGATGATAGAAATAACAATAAGCAGCAAAGTATGATGGGAAGAGAAAACTGGCCTCAGAGTCAGAAAGACCTGAGTTCAAGTCCTAATTCCAACATACCAGCTATGTGACCCTGAACAAGGCAGGCTGGAGTCAGGAAAACCTGAATTAAAATCCAGCCTTAGACACTTGCTAGCTGTGTGACTCTCGGCAAGTCACTTTACTGCTGTCTGCCTTAGCTTCCTCAACTATAAAATGGGAATAACACTTACCTTCCAAGGTTGTTGCAAGAATCAAATGAGATAATATTTATAAAGTGCTTAGTACAGTGCTTGGCATATAATAGGCATTTAATAAATGTTTGTTTCTTTTCATAGCTCAGTGCCTTTAGGCAAATTCTCTAAAATCTATGCCTTGTACAAGTAGTTAGTTGCTCACCTGTATTGGTAGAGGGAGTTTCTTGACCGGGAATTACCTACCCTAATGAAATCACATGTCCAAGGGGGAAAAAATGGCCTGCTCATCCTTCATTATGGTGTGTGTGCAGTTGACCCTGGGTCCTTACCAGTGGCATACAAGTTCAATGACACACTGTGGACCTAGCTCACCACCAGAGGGTGATGATGGCTTTCAGCTGCAGCTCATGAAGACCTGTCCCTCAGCCACAGAAACCTCAGGCTCTGCATCCCTGGCAGGGGTGCCCGTGTTCACAAAATCACAGATCACTTGGAACAGCAATGACAACAGCTTGCCTTCTTTGGAGGCTTTACAATTTGCAAAGAGCTCTTCTCAGAAAAACCCAGGGAGGCAAGCAGACTACAGTCAGTACTGCCTTGAAAGAAGAAGAAAGAAAAAATGTTCCCAAACCTCAACTCTGTCAGGACAGCATATCTGTCTAATTTCATCTTTGGATCTCCAGTGTCAAACACAGTGCCCCACAAAGAGGAAGGAATTTCTTAAATTTGTTAGCAGCCACTTTTTCTTCTCTCCAGAACCCTAAGCCCCACACATCTTCTAATCAGATACTTACAGATGCTCACAGAGGAGGGATTCTCTCCAGACATCCTGTAAGATAGAACATTAGAACAGTACAAAACTCCAAAAAGTGTCTAGACAGAATTTGCTCAGATTTGGGGTCATGACACTTTCAAGAATATCCCAGGGGAGTGCAGGACACTATTGTATAGTTCGGGGAACCTGTGGCCCTCTAGGTTCTCAAGAGTGGCTCTTTGATTAAATCCAAACTTCACAGAACCCCTTGGATTTGTGATTTTGTGGATTTGTGAAATTTGTGATTTCCACTCTATGAAGTTTGAATTTATTCACATGGCCACACTTCCTCCCCTCTTCCCCTCTTTCCTCCCCTATTTCCCTTCTTTTTTCCTTTTTCCCCTTTTTTCTCCTTCCTCCTTTCCTTCCCTTCCTTCCCTTTCTCCTTTCTCCCTTCTTCCCTTCCTCCCTCTCTCTCATCTATACTCTCTTCCATGCCTCTTCCTTTCTTCCCTTCCTTTCCTTCTTCCTCCCTCATTCCCTCCCTCTCTTCCTTCCTTTCTTTGTTCCTCCCTTCCTTCCCTCCTTCTTCCCCTCCTCCTTCTTCCCCTTCCTTCCTTCTTCCCTCTCCCATCCATCCTACCCTTCCTTTCCTTCCTTCCTTCCTTCCTTCCTTCCTTCCTTCCTTCCTTCCTTCCTTCCTTCCTTCCTCCTTTCTCCATATTATCTTCAAGGGTCTTGTCTTCTGGTTCCCATGCTAATAGTCAAATAACAAAGTCAAAAGACCTTGGTCTCACTCATTCAACCCCATCTCACCTGCACTCCTCTCCCTCCAGAAGCTTCCTGTAGGTAGCAATCTCCACATCCAGAGCAAGTTTGGTGCTCATCAGTTCCTGGTAGTCTCTGAGCAAGCGAGCCAACTCCTCCTTGGCACCGTGAAGGGCACCTTCCAGTTCATCCAGCTTGGCCCTGGCATCTTTCAGAGCACAATCACCCCTCTGCTCAGCATCTGCAATGGCCGTCTCGAGGTTGGAGCACTGTGGGGTAAAGAGGAGGCAGTTGATTGTACAGTCAGTATTTTAAAGCTGAAATTAATAACTCATGTTTCTATATCACTTTAAGCCTTACAAAATGTTGTCCTTTCTTGTATGGACTGATACGAAGAGAAGAAAGCAGAACCGGGGGGACAATATACATAATGACTACAATAATGTAAATGAAAACAACTTTAAAGGGCTATTTAAATCAAATTAAATGTAATCAATCAATAAGCAATCAGTAAGTATTACATCTACAATGAATCAGACACTGCGCCTTTAAGCACCAAGACTGTATAAAAAGAGGCCTCAAGGAGTTTACAATTTAATGGAGGAAGTTACAATATCATTATCATTATGACCCAGCACAGAGGTTCTTAACCTTATTTTATGGATTTATGTAGACCACTTTGGAAGCCTGCTAAAGCCTCTAGACCTCTTTTCAGAGTCATTTTAAAATATCTGAAGAAATCACCAAATTTACATTTGAGGTTAGAAAAAAAAAGATGTAATTTTTTCCCATCCAAGTTCATGGACCCTCTGAAATCTAACCATGAGCCCCTGGTCTAAAGGATGAAATATACTTCCCTCCTCTCACTGGGAATGAGGGTAGCAGTGAGAAGTGGAGGCTTATGGAAGCTGAATGTTGCATAAGCTGAGGCTGTTGCTAAATTGACAGGTTTTACATGACTGTTTCTCTTTATAATTACCAGAGGATTCTATCACAAGGTCTGGGAGGTGAAATGACTGATTGCAGTATAAAAGAAGAAATGTTTTTGCCTTTAAAAATAGTGCTTTCATTTTTGTAACTAACCACCTTCTGAGATAGAAAGCACAAACATTATTCTCATTTTACACATGAGGAAACTGAGGACCAAAGATTAGCTAGGTAGTTAGAGCTAGACTCAGAGTAGGGAAGACCTGAATTCAAATCCTACCTCAGATACTTAGTGGCAGTTCCCTCATCTGTAAAATGAAGCTAATAATAGCATCTCACAGGGCTGTTGTACGGACCACATGATAGTGGATGTCAAGCATTTTGCACCTTACAATGCTGTATAAATACTAGCAGTTACTATTCTTCACAGAGATTAAATAACTTTCTCTAGGTCATAAAGGCAGGAAGTCAGAGCCAAGCTTTAAGCTTAGGTCCTCTTATTCCAAATCTAGTACCCTTTTCATTTTACGTGTTGAGATAAGCAGAGGGGAGAAAGCCTGGTCTTGTTACTCCCTATTCTGGGAAGATGGGAGCATAATCATGATAAAGAAGAGCCCAGCAGTGCATCATCAATCAACAATTATTGATTAAGCTCAGGTTGTGTGCCAGGAACTGAGCTAGACCTTGGGGTTATAAATGCAATGAATGGAACAATTCCTACTCATACACGTTCAACGTATGTTGCAATCCCCCCACACACACACCATGCAGAGCCCTGTGCTGAGATCTCAAAGCAGGGAGAATCATGGTCCTTGCACTCAGAGAGCTCTAGAGAGCAATCTGGATTAGGCAGCCAGAGTTCTCAAAAGGTACCTCAGGGATGTGGGAGTTATGGGTGGGGAAGGGGTCCATCAAGTCTTCCTGGAGGAGGGGTGTGTGGAGGAGGCACAGGAAAGAAATGAGCAAAAGGGATGAGCCAAGAAGAGGCATACTTCAGCCTGCTCAGGTGGGCTCTCTAGAATCAATTGTTTCATTTTCAGTGTGAGCATTTACACCTCAGAAAAGGGCTTGATTTATTGTTTTATTGATGGTTTAGACTAAAAAGTGATAGAGAAAATGTACATAATGTAAATTAAGCTTAAAAAGGATGTTGGGTATACTCTCTCTCTCTTTTTTTTTTGGAAAGTTGGTTGTTAAACATTTACCAGCACACCACTGGAAAGTCAATTGTTAAACATTTACCAGCACACCACTGGAAAGTCAATTGTTAAACATTTACCAACACACCACTGGTAAGTCAATTGTTAAACATTTACCAACACACCACTGGTAAGTCAATTGTTAAACATTTACCAGCGCACCACTGGAAAGTCAATTGTTAAACATTTACAAGCACACCCCTGGAGAGAGGATGGAGGACCATGTAGCCAGGGGCACCTGTGTGTACAAGTACTAGGAATGAGTTTACTGAGTGAAGCAGTTTCGACCCACCTGCTTTTTCACATTGCCTATCTCAGAGCGAAGCCTCTGGATAAGCCGGTTGAGCTCTGAGATCTCATTCTTGATGTGTTTGAGGTCATCTCCGTGCTGGCCAGCAGCCAGCTGTAGCTCCTGGATCTGGTTTTCAAGAAGGAGAAGATGGTGAGAAAGGACATGATGCTGGCTCACCCCATTGTGGGCTCCTCCAGCATGTTACAGGGGAAGGAGGAGGTGGTCAGTCTGACCACCTCTCAACAATGCAAAATAAATAAATTAGATGTGTGCACCAGGGAAGAAACCAGAGAACAATTTTTTTTTACATAGGGAGATTCTAGGGCCCAGTGCCATGAGCCTCCCAACAAGCTATCCAGTGGTGACAATGCCTCTGCCTGTCACAGTATTTATAAAATGGTAGAGCCTCAATGTACTCTGGTGTGATCCCTTCATTTTATGTTTACTGAGGCCCAGTGACTTGTCAAATGTCAGGCAGGTAGTAAGTATCAAGACCATAACAAATGGCCTACTAAAGCTGGCTTGTTTGGGCACTTTTATTGTGATATCTTTCTTTGTTGGGTATATTTGTCCCCGTGGTGTGCCTTAGATTTAAAAATCAGTTAACATGTTCTTTGTGGGGGATAACAATAGAAATTAAAGGGAGAAGAATAGCTCCCATGTTGTTCCACTAAACAACTTCCATGTTGTTTAGATGTGGACTAAAATGCCAAACACAGAAAGACACCAGAATAAAGGTGTCAGGAGGTGTTGAGACAAGAAAGGACAGTGAGATATTTTTTCTTACTGTTGGGGTCTGGGTCCATGGAATTCTCTTTGTGTAGTACCGAGCTCATTACCTTGAAGGATTAATGGGGCTCTCCCTCCAATGGCTTCTCACTGACCATAGAGTAAAGCCTAAACTTTTTCCTTTGGCATTCAAGGCTCCCTGGAATCTGTTCCACTCTCCCTTTCTGGATTTATTTCATATTATTCCACTGCATGCACTCTATATTCCAACAGATTTGGACTACAAGCAGATCCCTCATTTTGCCCCATCCCCTATGCATTCACATAATATGCCTCCCGTACCCTCTACATCTCTACCTCATTCCTTCAAGAAGCTCTGGAATCACCTCCTCCATGAAGCCTTCTCTGATGTTCCCCACCCCAAACTTCCAGCTAGAGGTAATGCCTCATTCACCAAATGCCTGTTTCTTTCCTGGTCTGTGTCTGTCCCATGGCATTGCCTTTGCCTGCCACTTGCCTTGCTCTGGTACAAGCTTTCAGCGTCCGACTTGCTCTTTAGAGCAATATCCTCATACTGAATGCGGACCTCATCAATGATGCTATCAAGGTTCGGGTCACGGTTATTGTTCATGGATAGGATGACGGAGGTTTCACTGGCATGGGTCTGGATCTGGGCAGTCTCCTGTGGAGGCAGCAAGGAGATAACGTTAGGTCTCTATACCCTCATCCCTTCCTGCTCAGGCCCATTGGGATAGTCTCTCTGCAGCTTGGGGTAAAGTGAAGGGTGGGCACAGAACTGGGACCTGTGGGGCTCAAGTGAGGAAGGCCAGAAATCTAATATGGATGGACCTCATTAGATGGGAACCCTCCTTGCTAACTCTCAATTCTATAATCGCATAGAAAGGGCAAATCTCATTGAAAATAAATAGATGTCAAAAGAATGAAAAAGAGACCATAGGCACCATGTGGTATGCAAAGGAAACAGAAGAATGCAGTTGCTGGAGTCTTACAAAATTCACCTCCCTGCCTCTAGAAAAGGTAGCCATCTCAACCCCAATAAGATTATCTTCTATGGGTAAGGCTGTCCAAAGAAAGGGATTTTAAACCTCTCTTCATCATCTGTTGAAGGAATTTTTACATCAATGGCATGTATCACAAATCTCCTTTGGTACAAGTAATGTGAAGTGAGTTCTAAGTTGAGGGGTGTGAAGGGGACACTGTCTCATGAGATACCAGCTCCAGGAGACTACTGAAGGAGCCAGGAAGTAATTCATCCATCCTGCCATCTGGTAGCCTCCTCTTTTAACTAAGTATTCTTGCTAACTAGGTACCAAATTCTGTTGTTTCTTTATTGCTGGTGGATTTAAAGGATTGTCAGTGTCCTTTAAATATGGCACCCTGGAGTAAAGCTCTGGTCACCCTACCTTAGTTATGGCTCGGATTTCCTAGTCCTTCCCTCATTATATATTGAAGCCCTTCTGCTATAGCTTATTTTTTCAGGTGAATGACTGGGAGATAAATCCTACCTATGTCAGTCCCTGGTTGGACAGCAGTAGCCAGTATAGGGAGGTAAAGTAGAGCATCACGGGTCCTTACCGCCTCATACAAGCATTTCAGGTACTTGATCTCCTGGTCCAGAGATTCCACCTTGGCCTGTAGCTCTACTTTGGTATAGGCAGCGTCAGCATCCTATGGAGAGTTCACACAGAGCCTGGGGTTAAAATGTCCCACAATTCCAGTTCCCATTCTCCTGGCCCAGAGCTGGTTTGCTTCTTTGTGATATAGAAAAGGCACAGACCTTGATGCTCTGGTTGAAGTCCCAGATCTGATGATCACCAGCTATATGATCTTAGGTGGGATCACTAAAGTTCTTAGTATTAGTGTTAGTATTCTCACCTACAAAATGGGAATCGTAATTCTTACCCCAACTACTGCATATGGTCATTGTGGGGAAAACAACCAGGAAGTCTTAAACTATAGAAATGTGGTCTATTGTTATCCCTTTAATTTTCAATATTATACTGCCTATGAAAATATAAATAGATAACAACTTGTAGTAATATAGCAATTTTTCTATAAATCTGTCTTTTCTATCTTTTCTATAAAACTTTTCTATACATTTTTGAAGGTTAAAACCATCTTCTCAAGGAGAGGGGAGGGGAAGATAAGCCCTTTTCTTTCCATATTGGAGCTGGGGAAACCAAAGTGTTACATTGTTTTCCCTATCACACAAAAAGCCCACCATAGACTTAAAGGTTTTTGATTCCCAAGCTAGAGTTCTTTTCATTTCACATGCTTGTCTGTGCTCCACATGTTTCTAAATCTCATCTTCCCCAACAAACAGGGAATATCTCTGAAGCAGAAGAGATCTCTTCTGCCTTCCTCCCCTCAGTTCCCAGGACAAAGTTCTGAACAGAGCGTTGGCTCCTGGGATGGACGTATACTTGAACTAGAATCGTATGATTTAGATCTAGGAAGATATCTACGAGGGAGAGGAAGGGAATAAACTTTTATTAAGTGCCTACTATGTGCCACACCCTGTGCTAAGGGCTTTACAAATATTATCTCATTTGATTCTAATGAATCATAGAATTTTATAGAGACCATTTGGTCCAACCCTTTTACTTTGCATCTGAGGAAATCTAGGCCCAAAGAAATTAAGAGATTTTCATACAGTAAATAAAATATTCAGTGTCCAGAACCCTGACTGCAAACCCATTACTTTTCTCAGTAAATTGCAAGATACCCGGGACCTTTTATTCGCCTCACCTTTTTGAGAAGAACAAATTCATTCTCTGCTGCTGTGCGTCTATTAATTTCTATCTCATACCTGCAGACAGGGAGAGATAATTGATGCATTTGTCTCCCCCTAACCTCCCCAAGGGTCGGACAACCTAATCACATCACACCATGTACACACATGCATACACAGGCGCACACACACACACACACACGCACACATGCATGCGCACACAGACACACACACACACACAGCCAGACAAATGTCCTGAATGCCATTGGAACACCATCTCTTTCTCAGTTTTTCTCAGCACTACTAATTGGATCTCTTTTTTACCCCATCATACTTCTTACATCATAGTTCTCTGTGTATATATTTTCTTTCTCCTATTAGTCTATAAGCCCCTTGAGGGCAGGGACTGTATCTAATTTCATCTTTGTATTCCTAGCACCTAGTATAGTACCTGGCATACAGTATGCATTCTAAAAAAAAAAGTACTTGCCGCACTTAGTGCATCGGTAATGTTCCCATTAATTAGTATGACCATTCTAGAAATCAATTTGGAATTATACAAATAAAACCACTATAATGTTCATACCTTTTGACCTAAAAATTCCAGGTCACCAGACAGGATCTAGGCATGACTTTCCCTCTCCATCTCCTTCCCCTAAAAAAATGTCAAAGGTCAAGATGCCCCAGAGGCACCTTGGTGCATGTTGTATTTTGTCTCCTCACCTCTTCTTGAAGTCCTCCACCAAATCCCTCATGCTCCTCAGCTCAGAGTCCAGTCGCAGCTTGTCCCCTGACAAGGTATCCAGCTGCCTCCTCAGGTTGCCAATGTACCCCTCAAAGATGGGCTCTAAGTTCTTTTTACAATTGCTCAGGTCCAGTTGCTGAAGCAAGTTCCACTTGGTCTCCAACACCTGGTTCTGCTGTTCTAGGAACCTCACCTAGAATCCAACAGGAGAGTTACTTAAAGCCCACTGCTGAATACCTAAATGACAGCTCTCTGTGCACGAAACAGGGTCGTGGGGCTGAGGATGACATTAAGAGTTCTCTTCATCCATTTCTCTTCCTCTGTCTACTCTTATAAAAAAAAAACCCTTCATAAACAAGAGTCTCACAAAGTAATTAAAGCCACTTCCATCTATGCAATATTGTAATATACATTTATTGATCCTAATAATATCCCCATTTTGCAAAATCATGAAAGTGTGTCCAAGACCACAGAGCTAGTAAGACCTAGGACTTCCTACTACAAGTCAAATTCGCTTTCCTATAAATATCTCCTGATTAATTATAAAGGTTTCTGAAGAAAAATATTCAATAGTATCCCTCAAGTACCTGGTTTAAAGATCCCAAAACCATCTCAATTAAGAAGTCCTTCCTTAGATCTAACTTTAATCTTTTCTACAGTACTGAAAGTCAATTTCCACCGAAAAATACTGACCTCTCTAACCTTTTCTCATAGGCTATGAGCCAACAAGCCCTCCATAAACCATTCCCATCCCTTCCAAAGTCATTTCATTCATCCCACCTCACCCCCATCTTGCCCTTCAAGACAGGGCTAGCCTCCATCTACCCTTTTTGGAAAATTCCTAGAAAACCTAATTTGGCCATCTCACTTTGTTTCATGTCAGCTGCCTCTTGAGGTCAGGAAGTCTTTCCTATTGTCTAACCTCAAGCCTTCTGAACATCCTCTGTGTAAGCAGGAATAATTGCCCATTTTCTCAGCCCCACTCCACCTGCCTCCCCTAGGAGACTTCACAGGCTCACCTTGTCGATGAAGGAGGCAAACTTATTGTTGAGAGCCTTGATCTGCTCACGCTCCTGGGTCCTCACTTTCTGGAGCTCAGGGTCCAGCTCCACATTTAGGGGAGCCAAGAGGCTCTTGTTGACAGTCACTTGGTGTATGCCCCCGGGTGGGCACAGTGATGGGCACACAGATCCCAGAGCCACATTGCCAAAGATACTCCCTGCAAAGCCGGTAGCCCTGGCCCCTCCATACCCAGCCCCATGCCCAAAACCATAACTCCCAGTTCGAATACCCCCAGATACATTGAGAGGGATGCGATTACTGGCCCCTAGGCTGTAGAGGCTCCGGCTGCCAAAACTAATACCAGCCCCTTTGACCCCTGCCCGATAGGAAGACGAACTGCCCCCTACTTTCCGTGGCAAAATTGCAGAGTATCCACTAAAGTCACTCTTCTCACCACCAGACTTCAGGCCCAGCTGCCGGCTCATGGTGCAGGGAAGAATGGAGATTGTGGAGTGGGAGATTATTGAAAACCAAGAGAGCTGAGAACAAACAGTACTAATAGGCCAATTGGAATATCTGTCTCCTTATATCCCAATCAAGTCCAGGACAGCCGGAAAAGGGCGTCTCTCCCCCATCTCCTCTCCTCCTCCCAATGAGCCAGGGGGCAATGGGCAATTTGCTGAACTTGGATAACCAAAGCCTTTATACCAACAAAGCCCATCCAATCTACAACTGGATATGCTGTCCTTGCGATCTGCAGTGGTCTAATTTGCAGTTTATCTGTACTCCCTAATTATGGATTAGAAGAGTTATCCCCCAAAGATCTACAGGATTTATTTTCCTAGCTCTGCCTCCTTCTTGTTTGAACTTTTTTGATATCTCTGGGTTTACTCGCAGGAAGATTTCATCTCTCTCCTAATTCATTCCTTTCAACTCTACTGGAATTTCCCCCAGTCAAGTTCTCCTTCCTCCCTAGGGATGGGACATCTTCCACCCGATCCAATCTCCCCTATATTCTAACAAAGAATGTTAGAAGTAGAAAGGACCTTACAGACTCAGCCAAATTATTCATCTTACAGATGAGAAAACCAAGACTCTAAGCAGTAAATCATAGCTAGCATATCTATAACTCCTTTAGGTTTACAGAGTGTTTTCCTCACAACATCCCTTTGAGGTAGAGAGTGCAAGTATTATTTCTCCCCATTTTACAGATGATTCAGTAGCAAAGGTGGAATTTTAACCCTATCCTTTAATGCTGTTCCTAAAGTCCAATGCTCTTTGCATTATGCCATATTGGTTTTGTATAACCCACAATACCGAACATATCCTGCACTAATGAATATTCAAAATAGATTTGTTGAATGAATGAATATACAGAGATGGTAATGGCTTCTTTTTGCCCTTCTGTGATGTCCTCTGTTCTCCATTATGTGTGGTCCAGGCTGGGTTTCCTCCATAAAGTTAATGAATAAAGTTACCTTATTTAGAGCCAGGATGAAAAAATGGACTCCGGGGCAAAAATCAATGGGGAAAAGGAAAAACAAGATTAAAAAATGGGCGGGATGGGGAGGAGTCAGTATGGTATATTGGAAAAATAGGAGCTTGGGGCGGGGGGGGGGCAGCTAGGTGGCGCAGTGGATAGAGCACCGGTCCCGAAGTCAGGAGGACCTGACTTCAAATCCGACCTCAGACCAAACACTTGACACTTACTAGCTGTGTGACCCTGGGCAAGTCACTTAACCCCAATTGCCTTAAAAAAAAAAAAGACAAGAAAAGTAGGAGTTTTGGAGCCACAGCAGCAGTTGCTGCTGCTGCTTTTCAGTCATTTCAAACTCTTCATGACTCCATTTGGGATATTCTTGGCAAAGATACTAGAGTAGTTTGCCATTTCCTTCTCTAGCTCATTTTACAAATAAAGGAACTGAGGCAAACAGGGTAAAGTGACTTATTCAGGGTCACACAGCTAGTAAGTGTCTGAGGCCAGATTTGAGATCAGGAAGATGAGTCTGACTCCAGGTCCAGAGCTCTCTCCACTGCGCCACCTATTTGTATGAAACAGCAGACATGGGTTCAAATCTTGACTCTGGAGCGTAGTACCTGTGTAACCTTGGGCAAGTCACTTAATCTTCTTGTCTTCAGTTTCTCCATCTATAGAATGTAAGAGCTGGACTAGATAGCCTCCTTTGCACAATCCTATAAGTGGTTAAACCTCTTCTCTTAGTATATAAAGCATGGATGAAACTAAATTCATCATAAATAAGGGGTATGAACAAATTTGGTATATAAATGAATTCAGCATGAGAACAAAGGACAGACCACAACCACAAATAAAAACACTTCAGTGTAATTGAAGTGTAATTGGGGCAGGAGACATGGATTTGAGCACCAATTCTGCCTCTTCCTAGCTTTGTGACTATGATCAAGTTATAAACTCTCAGTTGGAAAGAATCTTAGAGGTCAATTAGTGCAACCTGCATCTGAATAGAAATCCCCTCTACAACATTCCTGATGAGTAATATTCCTTATCAGGAATTCACTACTATCTAAGGCTTGAGAAATTTTGACTTTTTGAGAGCTCTCATTAAGGGGAAGTTTCTCCTTATGTTGACCTTAAATCTGCCTGTCTGCAACATCATTCACTCCTTGATCTTAGCTCTGCCTTCTTGGACTATGCAGAAGAAGATCGATCCCTCTTTCACATGGCTCCCTTCAGATACTCAAAGACCCCCTATCATGTACTCCACCCCTAGTCTTCTCTTCTCCAGGCTAGACATTCCCAATCCCTTCAACAGATTCTTGGAATGATATTGAGTGGAATGATGCTGAATGGAATAATATTGAAACTCCTCATCCTCACCATTTTCCTCTGCATGGATTCTAGCTTGTTAATGTCCTTCCTAAAATTTGGTACCCAAAACACAGATGTGGTATGACCAAAGCTGAGTCCGGTGAAATAATGACCTCCCTCATTCTTGACCATAGATGTGCAGAGTGTGAGCCAGATGTGTGTGGGGGGGGGGAGGAAGCAGCATATCCATTAACCCATCCCAGAGAGCATATGCTCTATGTACAGTGTTTTGAAGCTTCTGCTAATGTAGCCTAATTCCATTAGGGTTTGGGGGAGGTTTTTGGCTACCAATTCATTCTGATAACTCACATTGGACTGGCATTCCTCTGTCCTATGTCCTCCATTATTTTAATCTTTTAGACCATACACTCCAATCCACGTTAGTGACCATTCTCCAGATGTTAGCTCACCCACCCTTGCTCTGTGTTCTCTTCTTTTCTCCCATCCCTCTGTAGAATCCTACTTTAGATCTTCAAGGGGACATCTACAGGGAAGAAGAAAGAGATGCATGGTCCCTTACTAGGAGAGCTCCTAGTCTTAGTGGAGGTAAGACACACACACAAGGGGTCCAGAAAACAAGTACAAAATACTCATATTCAGTGTGAACTGAGCATATCCAGTGTTTAAGAAATGCTGAGTAAAGTAGTAATGATAAGGAACTGGTTACAGTGAAGGTAGTCAGTCTCTATCAGGAGGAGTCTTCTGATATGATGAGGAAGAAGGAGGAAGAAAAAGATTTCCTTAAAAACAATGATGGGAGCTTCACCCCACTCTGATTGGTGGCCCCATCTAATTGGATCCCAGGGAATTTAATTGCATGGAAATTGTTCTTGTCCTAATGATAAGATCTCTGGCACCCCTGATCTGTAAAGTGCTTGGCCATCATTTAATTAGCCATTGCACACCATAGTCATGGTCTTTGAGTGGGACACTTAGGGAGGAAAATTCTCTCAAGACCTAGAAGCATCATTCATTCATTCATGCATGCATGCAGAAACACACATAGGCGTACATTCAATAAATACTGACTGAGCTACGTGCACAGCTCAGTGCTAGGCACTGGGTGGGAGGAGAGAGGATATGCAAAAGGAATGTGGGACACAGAATTTGCCCTCTAAATTTTACAATCTAGCTGAGGAGGCAATGTACATAAGGCTCAGTAATGATATGTTATGAGATGACTAAACACCAAAATGTGTGATACATATACTAATGCTACTGGTATTCAAAAAGCAAGATGAGTAGGAGCATGAGCTTCTGGGAAAGGCTTCATGAAGGAGGCAGAAATGAGGCTGGGTATGATCTTGAATGATGGGTAGGATCTAGATAGATTGGAGAGAGCGGGGAAGAGATGGAGAGAGAGGGAGAGCAAGAGACAGAGAGACAGAGAGAAACAGAGAGGAAAAGAAAGAAAGAGAGAAAGAATGAGGAAGAGAGAATAAGGAGACAAAGAGAGATAATGAGACAGAGAAAGACTGAAAAGAGAGAGGCAGATAGAGGGAGAGGGAAAGAAAGAAAGAGAAAGAGAGAGAGAGAGAGAGAGAGAGAGGAGAGAAAGAGAGAAATAGAGAGGAGAGACAGAGAGAATGAGAGAATGAGAAAGAGAGAGAATGAGGAAGAGAGAAGAAGGAGACAAAGACAGATAATGAGAGAGAGAAAGAATGAAAAGAGAGAGGCAGATAGAGATGGAGGGAGAGAAAGAGATGCAGAGAGAGAGAGAAAGAGAAAGAAAAATAAAGAGACAAAAAAGAGGAAGAGAAATAGAGAGGAGAGAGAGGGGAGAGAGAGAAAGAGAGAAAGAGAGAGAGAGAGAGAGAGGGAGAGAGAGAGAGAGAGAGAGAGAGAGAGAGAGAGAGAGAGAGAGAGAGAGAGACTGGACAGGTCCAGATTATGAAGAGTCTTGAATGGCAAGAGGAGGAGGAGGAGGAGAAGTTTGTAGTTTGACAAGGGTTTTACAGTTTAAACAGTGTTTTCTTCATAAAAGCCTTATGAAATAGACAGTAGAGATTGGTCACTGGGCTTGTAATTTATTCGTATAAGGAATTCCTAGATGAGGAAGTTCCTTCTATCAATGTGAGTAGGCACCTTCTCTGCAATTTATACTCTAGTTACCAGAGCACTGAGAGGTTGAGTTACTTGCCTTGGGTTTCATAGCCAGTATGTATCAGGGGCAAAACTTGAATCCAAGTCTTCCTGGCTTTCAGGCTGGTTTCCAATTCATTAAGACACCTATACTATTATGTCTGTTTATAGATCAGGAGACTAAGATTCTAAGAAGTCATTAATGCATTGTTGTTCACAACTCTTAAATGGCAGTCTGTGTCTCTTGTTCATATCTCAAAAGGCAGCCAGTGTCTTCCCTCTTCCCAGGCACAAGAGTAGCACAGTATAGGCCACTGGAGCAGCTGTGGTGGCGACAGTGACCATGGGCAGACCATCCAAAGACGTGGCAGACTCTCACAGCAAGAGAAGCCAATGGAAGAAAAGAGCTCACTTGGCATTGATCAGGTTATAAGCATCGGAGGAGAGAAGTAAAGGAGCAGCCCTATTGAAAATAACCCAAGGAGGCTTGTATGCTACACCCTCTCAAGTGATTGTAATTATCCTATGATTCTCCACTGCTTAATGTTCCCTTCC